TTAATTGCTTTGATCCCAGAGTTCAAGGGCTTAACTGCATCAATTAAAGTCTAGGGGCTTAATAGCGATTCTGGGGTTAGTTCAGGGGCTCAACTTATGGTTTTACCTAATTTTTCATTGTTATCAAATTCTTTTCCATCTTATTGGAAGTTCTGAGATCTGTAAACTCCACCTACTATGTAAATTTGGTACTTTTGCATTCCTTTTGTTTTAATATAATTGTTGTTGTTTATTTTTTAAAATTAATAATTTAGAGATAATTTATGCACATTATTATCTTTAAAACAATAAAAAAATTCTTTGTAATTAAATTATTAATTAAAGTTATATTGTCATTAAAAAATAAAAAAATAAAAAAGATTAAAAAATTTATGATAAAATAATGAATTAAAATAAATAGATAATAATAGTGTCAAAATTAAAAATTATTTTTCTTAAAAAATAAAAAAATTTATTTACCTTAAAAAAATAAAAAAAAACAATGAATTTAATATAAATTAAAAAAATATAACAATTATTTTAAAAGTAGAGTACAAACAAAAAAACACTTTTCCATTAATATTATCAAGAATAATATATTACACTACTGTATAATATTAATTGTAAACTTATAACATAATTAATTATTTTATTTTATTTAAAATTTATTTATAATATTATACTATATATCTATTCTTTTATAATATATTTAAATTAAAAAATTAAAAAATAATCTTTTAATTAAATAAATTATAACATTTAACCCAACCATATGGTTAATACGTAATGAAATTAATCTTACCATCCACGGATTGTAACTATAGGTCATAGATTCCGTTATATGTATTTTTATTCTTAATCGCTCGCCGCGCGGTGCTCCGCCACCTCTGCGTCGGGGAAGGAACCGAACAAAACTTGCGGTTTTCCAAGTGCTACGCAGCTCCTCCCCTTCTTCTTCTTTATTCAGATTCGTTACGATTACGAGGACCGACGGAAAAGTCCTTCGCTGCAATTAGCAAACTTAGAAACTTCAATTCATTTCCTCTCCGCAATTTCCACTTTTTTTCTCTCTCAGAAATCTAGGGATCAACCAAATCTCTCTGTCTCCTTTTTCTTCCTTCAAATCCACAGTCAAAAACGGAAATCACACCATGAATATCTTCAGATTTGCCGGCGATATGACTCATCTAATCAGCATCCTGGTGCTCCTCCTCAAGATCTATGCTACCAAATCCTGCTCAGGTAACTTCAACCTACTTGTTTTCCGTTTGGTTCCCGAGAAACTGCTAGAAAGTACTAAAGTTAGGTCTATCGCGAAAACGAAACTCCCGTTTAGTTTCTGCTTCGTTTTAAACTGGAAGAAAAGAGTTAGAAATGAGAAGAAACCGATCTTTTAGAGGCCAGTTGGTTGGTTGCATTAAGCTCGATTCGGTGATCCATACTTCTTAAAACTTGAATTATTTGGTTATTTGAGACTTCGATTTTTATTTTATCATTTGCATTGCGTTCTTCTTTTGTAGGGATTTCGTTGAAGACTCAGGAGCTATACGCATTGGTGTTCTTGGCTCGCTATTTGGATCTGTTCACGGACTTTATCTCTGTGTACAACACCATCATGAAGATAGTGTTCATTGCTAGCTCTCTTGCTATTGTTTGGTGCATGAGAAAACATCCTGTCGTGAGGCGTTCCTATGACAAGGACCTTGACACATTTCGCCATCACATCGTTATTGTGGCTTGCTTGGTGTTGGCAATTTTTGTCCATGAGAAGTTCACATTCCAAGAGGTGAGTGTTTGTTAATTATCCTTGCTTTGAGAGCTTGATTGTGCTGTTGAATTTTAAGAGTTCATAATCTGTATTTTCTGGTCTTTATAGAAGAGTTTTTCAGTTGTTGTTTATGGATATTAAGTAATTATTCCTTTTCCAGTGTGATTAAGTAATGGAGCTTTTTAAACTACATGTTTAGGCAGCTATGCTTTTGCATTCCAATCCTTTTAACTGTTTCAATGACTGGTTTGGTTTATATCCAAACACTAGATTGTGACATGAGATGCATGTTTATGGAATCAATTTGTTGCTACCACTCAACTTAATGTGTTTTCATGTTACAACTGGTGGTTGGTTAGAAGGAGAGATCAGCTACTTGTCATGCTAGCCTGCAGCATGCTTATCATATTGTTTTCCTTTTAAGTTCTTTTGCTCTTTCAGGATCCAGAGCTTGGTTCTAACAATTAGAATTTAGACCAAACGATCAAGTCTGCCAGTAAAGAAAATTAGAATTTCAGTCATGGGATGTTCTCCAGGCTAGTTAAAAATATTAACCTTTCTTAAGAACTGATAAGGGGAAGCATCAACCAAGATTTGTCATTGTGAGTACATGCCTTGGATTTTTCGTTGTGCTTGAAACTCATTATTCATTTATTGTAAGCCATAACTGTTCCTTTCAAAACTTTGACTATATGAGTTCCATTCAGAATTACGTAAAAAATATTCACCCATAAACATTGATTTGATTAATTGTTGGATTTGCTTAACTTGATTCTTGAGGAAAGCGCTTAAACTTTCCAATGCAAGTTTCTGCTCCTTGAGGTATGTTTTGGTTTTTAACTGCGACCTTGTTTTCTAGAATGAAGCTTATTCTAAATACATCTTGGAGTTGGTTTCCTGTGGGAGAATGTAACTCATGATTGCCTTCTCTAGTAAGGCCTATCATGTATATTGAACATTGAGATGATAAGGCATAGCCTGGCTTGAAGGGGAAGGGCATTTTTATTACCCTTCATCACCATGTTTGGTTGCATTATTTAGTTTCCATTCTATCATACCAAACATAATGCTTTAAGATGGACAAAATAATTAAAAGGATGATTGGAAGGACCAAGCAAGACAATGGTGTCAGGTATTGTGAGGAGAACTAAGTATTTTAAGTTTTTAACTCAGGACTGAGGAGTCCTATTCATTGCTATATGTTATTATATGTTATCATATTGCCTTGTCAAGACAAAAATGGCTACATATGACAAAGAAGGAATGGTTGGATAAGCCGGAGTGGTTGGATTTGGTATAAATGTTTAATCTCCATAGCCTCCCTTATGATTGGTCTTTTACAAATGCTATTCTTAATCATAACCAGTTCAATGCAACTCCTATTTGCTGTTATTATCAACACGTTTACTGATATCTTGATTATGACTAATTTATACTCTTTTCCTATTTCTTACTTGTGAATCTAAGAGTTTCTCACATATAAATCATCTTTTCAACTGTTGCAGATCTTCTGGGCATTTTCAATCTACTTGGAGGCAGTTGCAATTCTTCCCCAGTTAGTTCTGTTGCAAAGAAGTGGAAATGTGGATAATTTAACTGGACAATATGTATTCTTTCTGGGGTATGCATATTTGCGTATTTTTTCATTTTGCGTAAATAAACATATAAAGCAAGACTGGGTCTATAAAATACATTGCTTCCTGCCAAATTGGAAGAGTCCTATATGTGGTACCAATAGTCTGATGTTGTTTGGTACAAAAATGAGTGCATCCATATGTTGAACTTTTATGTGCTGTTCTTACACAACAAGTTTTAACTTGCAGAGCTTACCGCGCTTTCTACCTTCTCAACTGGATCTATCGCTATTTCGCAGAGCAGCATTTCAGTCGATGGATAGGTATGCTTTCCTCTTTCATGAGTCAAAAAGAACAAAGCTACTTGATTATTTATTCCTGCATGCACAATACTCTGACTTCCAACCATATGTTGTCAGCTTGCATCTCTGGTATTGTGCAAACTGCTCTCTACGCAGATTTTTTTTACTATTACTTCATTAGGTAATGAATATCACCCTTAATTTGTAAGTTGTAACCCTTTCATTTTAACCATCTTTAAAAGATATTATTAACTCAAATTTTGTCTTTGCCTTTTTTGGCAGCTGGAAAAACAACTCAAAGCTTCAGCTGCCAGCTTAAGCCAAATGTTTGGAGAACCTTATACCTACTATGAGCAGATTTACTACTTCTTAAGTGACACTGGTTGGCTACACGAAGAAGAGTCACATGGTTTATAGTTCTTGCAGTTTGAGCCCCTCCTATAATTTTGAGCTTGTAAATATAGGAGGGTGAAAATGGAGACTGAACGAACATTGTACATGGACATGACAGTACCAATTCAATTAGTAGAGGTTGCAGATTTTCATTTTTCTTTCCTTTAATTTTATTTTTATTTTATTTTTATTTTTATTTTTTTGGCACATGCAGTGGAAATTTTGGTGAGGGTAGTTAGACGGTTTAAACACGACTCGGTAAAAGTTAAACCTAACAATTGACTATTGTGATTCTATCCACGAAAGAGTCCTCGATGTTACAGACAGACCAGTTCAAATAAGCCCAAATGAATTTACGAATACAGGCGAAAGAACAAAAAGTCCAAAAGTGGCCCAACCCAATAATATAGAATGCTTTGGAGATACACGTGTCCATTCGAGATTGGTTCACACGTCGTGGCAAACTCCTACCCTATTCCAACCATGAAAGAAAATCAACGAAATCTGAAAGGGTCATACCCATATAAAAACAAGCCAAGCTTCCCATTTTGACTCTCGCGAGGTATTTTTTTCATTTGATATTTCATCCCCATCCATCTCTGCGAGCCTCGACTTAGTATTTTTTTCTAACAGCAGGCCGCCGATTTAGCTGAATCTATTGAAACTTCGATCCGTACAGATCCCGGCCGAATTCGTAAGTTTCCGATTCTCTTTGTTTCAGCCCCGTTTGGTTGCTTATCATTTGCTTTTAAGGTTATTGGTTGCTTGTTTCTCGGGAAAGTGTTTCGGGAAAATGTTCATGGATTATATTATTGTGATGCGAGTTGAGATCTGGTTCATCTGTAAATATGGATCTATTTCTGCGTATCAGATTGTCTAGATTTTAATTATTTGGTTCTAGATCTGCTGGTTTTTGTTTTTGAAATCGATGTTTTGCGTATGAGTTGTGTTCATTGTAGCTCATTTAAGGTTGCTAAACTATGTAGCTGCTTGCCTACCGAACCATGGTTGTCTAATTAACAAATTGATATAAGTTTTATGGTGCGTGGATTTGAAATCCATGTTCCTTTTCAAGCTAAATCTGAGCTTCTCGTTTTGGTTGTCGATTTTGATCTCCTTGGCTCTTTTCCGATGTTATGGACGATGGTGTGTGAGTTGCATGTAGGCATGAATATCAGAATATGATATATTGCTTAATTTGATTTTATAATGCGGTCTGAATTTTCTGGTCTATTCAAATCGTCCGATTGAATCGCTTGGACTTGGATTTGAGAGAATTTTTCCTGTTTCTTGGTGGATTTCCTGTATCTGGTATTATATATGGAGTCACCAGAGATAAATATATGGTGTTTTTTATTTATCTGTTCGTTATGTTTAATCATTATCAATTCCATTTTTGAGGTCCATTTAGAAGTGAAATGTTTATTTGAATCTTAAAGGAATTATTTTTTCATACTAATGAGTAATTGCCTTGGTGGTGTTTCAGTGTTAGGTAGCCAACATGGGAGGAGGGTTTAGGGTGCTGCATTTGGTCAGACCATTCCTTTCATTTCTGCCAGAGGTGCAGAGTGCTGACAGGAAAGTGCCTTTTAGAGAGAAGGTCATCTACACTGTGATCTCTCTGTTCATCTTTCTGGTTTGCAGTCAGCTTCCGCTGTACGGCATACATTCTACTACGGGTGCTGATCCATTTTATTGGATGCGTGTTATCCTTGCATCAAGCCGTGGGACTGTCATGGAACTTGGGATTACACCCATTGTAACATCTGGATTGGTGATGCAACTCTTGGCTGGTTCTAAGATTATTGAAGTGGACAACAGTGTTCGTGAGGATCGTGCTCTGTTGTAAGTACTATTAATTGCTATCGTCAAGTGATTGAGCAATCATCTATGCTTATTTGTTGGTTTCACTGCCTTATAATGTTTTCTTTTCAACATAATCCTATAAATATATTGAAGATGTTGTACTATTACAACATGGAATGCATGTTTTACTTTTTTCCTGCTCCTTTCCAAAATTTTGTGAATCTTATTATAATGCAGATAACGAGGCACAATGAAAGCAAACTAACAATATTTAATTTTCTAGGTGCAACAAAGAAAAGATTTCCTTAATGTCATATGACAAATATTTACATTTGTTGGGCATTTTTTTCCCCCTTTTGTTATTACTTGCATTGTAGGGGCCGACAGTATTCGTTTTTACAGTTAAAATATGACTTCTTTGCGTGCGTTGTAAATTTTTTCCTGAACTTGTGCAGAAATGGGGCTCAAAAGTTGTTGGGCATTCTTATTGCTGTTGGTGAGGCTGTTGCATATGTACTGTCTGGTATGTATGGAAGTGTCAGTCAACTTGGCGTCGGGAATGCAGTACTCATCATCATTCAGCTTTGTTTTGCTGGAATTATTGTGATATGCCTGGATGAACTTCTCCAGAAGGGATATGGTCTGGGATCTGGGATTTCCCTTTTCATCGCCACCAATATCTGGTATGGTATTTTTTTTACTTCAGTTCCTTTTTACTGTAATTCACTTGATGTAATAACAGTATTGGTAATCCTAATTTTGATTGAACATGCAGTGAGAATATCATTTGGAAAGCATTTAGTCCTACAACCATCAACAGTGGTCGGGGTGCCGAATTTGAAGGTGCTGTTATTGCCTTGTTCCATCTACTGATAACAAGGACAGACAAAGTTCGAGCACTTCGCGAGGCTTTCTATAGACAAAATCTTCCAAATGTTACTAATTTGCTTGCTACTGTGTTGATCTTCCTAATTGTCATCTACTTCCAAGGTTTCCGTGTGGTTTTGCCTGTCAGATCAAAGAATGCTCGTGGACAACAAGGTTCATATCCAATCAAGCTTTTCTATACCTCCAACATGCCCATCATTCTTCAGTCTGCCCTTGTTACAAATCTTTATTTCATCTCCCAGGTATCTCCTAATTCTAACCTGGTTATGAAAAGTCAAAAGATTTCATTTTATTGCTAATCTGTTGCAGATCTCTAACAGTAGATTTTTTTACAGTTGCTGTACAGGAAGTACAGTGGAAATTTCTTTGTGAATCTGTTGGGGAAGTGGAAAGAATCTGAATACTCTGGTGGCCAGTTTATTCCTGTTGGTGGTCTGGCTTACTATGTAACTGCACCTGCAAGGTAAAATTGCTTCCCGTTTTGCTGCCATTTCTTACAACTCTTTTCTGTTGCTTGGTATACTTGAGGGTAAAAATGCAAGTCTTTGGGAGGCATACGTGTTTTGTTTTTTTGGCTGCCTGTATTCTGATGGACAATTTCTTTGTTTGGATGTTACCAACATTGCAGTTTGGCAGACATGGCAGCTAATCCCTTCCATGCTCTATTTTATCTGGTGTTCATGCTCTCAGCCTGTGCATTGTTCTCAAAAACTTGGATTGAAGTGTCAGGGTCTTCTGCAAAAGATGTAGCTAAGCAGCTCAAGGTAATTCAGTATGACAAATTGAGAATTATGGTTTCTCACAACCATATTGTTTAGTCCTTTTCTCTTTTCCTGATGTGGCATGTGGTGCTTATTCCTAATTAAGGTGTGATACAGGGTTCCTTGGAGTACCTATATTCTGATGTCCTGAGTCCAATCTTATAGGTAGGGGTGGTAAATTTATTCAATCATATTTTAAACATCTCCATCCTTTTATCAACAGGAGCAACAAATGGTGATGCCTGGACACAGAGATTCAAATCTAC